AGAAAAATCCTTTACCCGAAGAAATATGCAAATATCACTGCTGGGTCACAAACCAGCAGTGATGACAGCACACTTTTATTTTGTCGTTAGTATGATTCTTTCATTTCATGACAGTAAAAAGAAATGCCAGACATGTGGTCCAGATTTTTATGCTGAAAATAGGGTCACTTAGGGTACATCTACACTGGCCCCTTTTCCGAAAGGGGCATGCTAATTTTCAAGTTCGTAATAGGGAAATCCGCGGGGGATTTAAATATCCCCCGCGGGATTTAAATAAAGATGTCCGCCGCTTTTTTCCGGCTTGTAGAAAAGCCGGAAAAGAGCGTCTAGACTGGCCCGATCCTCCGGAATAAAGCCCTTTTCCGGAGGATCTCTTATTCCTACTTTGAAGTAGTGGCCCCGATCCTCCGGAAAAAAAGCCCTTTTCCGGAGGATCTTATTCTACTTTGAAGTAGGATCTACTTTGAAGTAGGAATAAGATCCTCCGGAAAAGGGCGCTTTTTCCGGAGGATCGGGGCCAGTGTAGACGCTCTTTTCCGGCTTTTCTAAAAGCCGGAAAAAAGCGGCGGACATTTTTATTTAAATGCCGCGGGGGATATTTAAATCCCCCGCGGATTTCCCTATTACGACCTGTAAAATTAGCATGCCCCTTTCGGAAAAGGGGCCAGTGTAGACGTACCCTTAATGTATTGACTCAACCTTGGTGTGAAGTTACTGACAATAATAGTGGAGGTATCTTGTAATATGAATCCACTATACCATGGACAAATGATGTAATAAGGGTGAAAACACATCTGTAGCAAACTCAATCACTTTCCAATCAGTGTCTTACACTACTGAGGACATTTCTTGGAATTGTTGATGTTTTTTGTCAGACAGTCTTTGTGTGTATGTGACCAGATGATGCACAAAGTTCTGTGTTCTTACTACCTAACTTGCCACTAATTAATTGCAAGTAGTTCTATTCAGAGAGTTTCTGAGTCTTCAAGATAGGCTGGGCATATTTAGTAATGTTTTTAATAAGCTTTCCCCAGCATGTGTCATATTTAGGCTTGACAGAATTATTTTTTATCATTTCATTATCACTGTTAATTTTTAATCTTTTAAAAAGATTTGTTATTGATTTACTTTTTCCACAGTTATGGTAAATTATTGGAGGAAGGTCAGACAATTACTTAATGACAATAGGTGTTGCAATTCAATCAGACAAAGCTTTATAATGGTTAAAACACAAGTATAGATGTTTCCTGTGTCAATGCCGGTAATCCACCTCCCTGAACAGCAGTAGCTGTGATAACATAATTCCTTTTGGATATGTCTATACTACAAAGTTAGTTCGAACTGACGGACGTTAGTTCGAACTAACTTTGATAGGTGCTACACTAGCGCTCCGTTAGTTCGAATTTAATTCGAACTAACGGAGCGCTAGTGTAGCACCTATCAAAGTTAGTTCGAACTGACGGACGTTAGTTCGAACTAACTTTGATAGGTGCTACACTAGCGCTCCGTTAGTTCGAATTTAATTCGAACTAACGGAGCGCTAGTGTAGCACCTATCAAAGTTAGTTCGAACTGACGGACGTTAGTTCGAACTAACTTTGATAGGTGCTACACTAGCGCTCCGTTAGTTCGAATTTAATTCGAACTAACGGAGCGCTAGTGTAGCACCTATCAAAGTTAGTTCGAACTGACGGACGTTAGTTCGAACTAACTTTGATAGGTGCTACACTAGCGCTCCGTTAGTTCGAATTTAATTCGAACTAACGGAGCGCTAGTGTAGCACCTATCAAAGTTAGTTCGAACTGACGGACGTTAGTTCGAACTAACTTTGATAGGTGCTACACTAGCGCTCCGTTAGTTCGAATTTAATTCGAACTAACGGAGCGCTAGTGTAGCACCTATCAAAGTTAGTTCGAACTGACGGACGTTAGTTCGAACTAACTTTGATAGGTGCTACACTAGCGCTCCGTTAGTTCGAATTTAATTCGAACTAACGGAGCGCTAGTGTAGCACCTATCAAAGTTAGTTCGAACTGACGGACGTTAGTTCGAACTAACTTTGATAGGTGCTACACTAGCGCTCCGTTAGTTCGAATTTAATTCGAACTAACGGAGCGCTAGTGTAGCACCTATCAAAGTTAGTTCGAACTGACGGACGTTAGTTCGAACTAACTTTGATAGGTGCTACACTAGCGCTCCGTTAGTTCGAATTTAATTCGAACTAACGGAGCGCTAGTGTAGCACCTATCAAAGTTAGTTCGAACTGACGGACGTTAGTTCGAACTAACTTTGATAGGTGCTACACTAGCGCTCCGTTAGTTCGAATTTAATTCGAACTAACGGAGCGCTAGTGTAGCACCTATCAAAGTTAGTTCGAACTGACGGACGTTAGTTCGAACTAACTTTGATAGGTGCTACACTAGCGCTCCGTTAGTTCGAATTTAATTCGAACTAACGGAGCGCTAGTGTAGCACCTATCAAAGTTAGTTCGAACTGACGGACGTTAGTTCGAACTAACTTTGATAGGTGCTACACTAGCGCTCCGTTAGTTCGAATTTAATTCGAACTAACGGAGCGCTAGTGTAGCACCTATCAAAGTTAGTTCGAACTGACGGACGTTAGTTCGAACTAACTTTGATAGGTGCTACACTAGCGCTCCGTTAGTTCGAATTTAATTCGAACTAACGGAGCGCTAGTGTAGCACCTATCAAAGTTAGTTCGAACTGACGGACGTTAGTTCGAACTAACTTTGATAGGTGCTACACTAGCGCTCCGTTAGTTCGAATTTAATTCGAACTAACGGAGCGCTAGTGTAGCACCTATCAAAGTTAGTTCGAACTGACGGACGTTAGTTCGAACTAACTTTGATAGGTGCTACACTAGCGCTCCGTTAGTTCGAATTTAATTCGAACTAACGGAGCGCTAGTGTAGCACCTATCAAAGTTAGTTCGAACTGACGGACGTTAGTTCGAACTAACTTTGATAGGTGCTACACTAGCGCTCCGTTAGTTCGAATTAGCTTAGTTTGAATTAACTAATTCTAACTAAGTTAGTTTGAATTAACGTTGTAGTGTAGACGTACCCTTTCTGTGAATTTTTCACCTCCCTGAGTGATGGATCCAGATTGACCTACATTTAAAGGTAGGCCTTAAATCAAGCTAATAATTTTTACTTTGCCATTTGTGAAGCTGGCTAGAGTATTATAGATGGAAATATTTTCCCATCAGTTTGCATGTACAGTGAAACATGTTGGCGCAACTAAAGATCTTATCTCACCCACCTTGTATCTCTAAACAGTGGCATGTTTTGCTGCAAACTGCCTTTTGGCGACAAAACAGTGAGCAAAATGCAGGACAATGTAGCACTTTAAAGACTAAAAAGATGGTTTATTAGATGATGAGCTTTCATGGGCCAGACCCACAGTGAGAGTGTTTATACTGCAAAGTGACTTTGTCAGGAGAAACCCCCAGTTTTGGTGACAAAAACCTTCCCCCCCTGAGAGAGACTTTTATCTTTTCCCCCTCCCTTTATTGTTGACAAAGAGCCAACCGGGACTCTACTGTTTGTTTTGTCAAGAGAATCAACTTCCGCCAGTATCCACAATGCCTGCCCTGATGGCTGTGCTCAATGTTTAATGATCTCTGCTGCCCTGTAGGTATGCATCCATTGCCTTTCAAAGCTCTGGGAAGTACCCAGCAGCTGAGTGAGCAGCTGTTAACAAAGAAAGAACAAATCACTGGAATGCTTCTGTTCTGCCCTGCTAGGAATACAGCACAGGCAGACTGCTGCTGGGGATGGGAGGGGCTGGAGAGCCTGCTCAGCTGCTTTGACATTCCTTAGCATGGAGAGCTCACAGAGCTTAAAGGGAATCCCAAACAGCACAGGGATCAGCTCTGTCTTCCCAACACTGTACTGTGGGCTGCCTACCCACATTGCTTTGCTCCTATTTGTTGACAGAGTGCTAACAAAGTGTCTATGAAATGTGGACAATGAGGCTGTGTCCAGACTCAGGGTTTTTTTCGAAAAAAGTAGCCTTTTTTCGAAAAAACTTCACCTGTGTCTAGACTGCAGCCGCGTTCTTTCGAAATTAAATCAAAAGAACGTGGCTTTTCTTTCAACGGTGGTAAGCCTCATTTCACGAATCCTGCTCAGCTGCTTTGACATTCCTTAGCATGGAGAGCTCACAGAGCTTAAAGGGAATCCCAAACAGCACAGGGATCAGCTCTGTCTTCCCAACACTGCACTGTGGGCTGCCTACTCACATTGCTTTGCTCCTATTTGTTGACAGAGTGCTAACAAAGTGTCTATGAAATGTGGACAATGAGAGGCAGAAAAACTGGTTTGACTGTTTTTCACATTTGACGACTTTTGCATGTTGACAGCACTTTGGTGCCCCAACCTTCCCAGTCTAGACATAGCACCAACCACCAGGACAGCTACAGTGCCTACAGTGAAACCGACATTTATCGATAAAAGGCAAATCGGGCCCAGCCGAGCCCTGTGACTAGGGTAGAGCGCCTATGCTTTGAATGGAAGCAGCATGAGCTCCCGCCTGTAAGCCCCTACAGGGCAGGAGTGCCTGGGACCGGACTGCACTAGATGCCAGGGCTAAGGGAGACGCAGTGTGGGGAGAAAAGAGAGCAGCCAAGGGAAGGAAACAAGTCTGTTCCCTTCTCGCCCCTGGGCTGTGGGGCTCCTGCTTTCCCCTGCCCCCCGGAGCCTGAGGGCTGGCAACAATCCAGCCCCTCAGCCTGCAGTGAGGGAGTGGCGCATGAGGCGGGACGGAAGTAGGCTCGCGACAGGACTGTGCCCTCCGGCTCCACCCAGCTGTGCCGAGGGGGGCGGGCGCTGGCCCTTGCTGCTGGCGGGGGAGGGACGCTCGCTCGCTCCGGGCTGGGGCGGAGCCGCTTTTCTTGCTCAATGGGAGGGGGACGCCCGGGGCTGGTGCTGCCGGCGGCGCCCGGACGGAGCTGTCGGAGGTGAGGGGGTGGCGGGGCCGGGGGTTTGCAGCCACCAGCCCGCGACTGGCTCTGCTCTGGGGCCGGGCGGCGGCAGAGGGAGCAGCCGCTTTTCCACCGCCCGCGGCTTGGGACGGGGCGGCTCTGTAGAGTCCCGGATGAGCCGGAGTCGGGCTGGCTCCTGCGGAGGAGCGAGCCCCCCGGCCTTGGGGAAGCAGCGAGAGCCCGAGGTGCCGCTGGGGCGGAGCGCGGGCTGCCCTGAGACCCGAGCCACAGGTGCAGCGACCTCTCTCCTGGGACTAGCGGGAAGCCGGCTGGCTGGGAAACGCCTCTGGCTGCCAGAGCCAGCCTAGGTGCGGGAGCTAGGGGAGCCGTCACATACAGGGCGTTCAGGTTTGGATCCATGGATTTCACATCCCCACTTTACAGATTGGTCCAGCATCCTTGGAAGAAAGTAGTTTTCGTCGTCCCCCCTTTTTTTTTCGTTTGCATAACCCTAGAAACTTCAAATTGCTATACGGAGCCCATTGGAAATCATAGATCTAGGCTGTGGACTCCCAGGCGTCCACGGATCACAGGTTGACAATCACTGCCATAAGCTACTGCCCTGTGGAGCTGAGACTCCTTTTTACTGCTTTTTACTGATCTTGCGTGGGACGCTCCAGGGTCGCTATCTGCTTATCCTCATGTGTGTTGTAGGGGTTAATTCATTCACTGCATTCTTGCATCACCTTCTTGCCTGTCAAGTTGGTAGCAAGTGAAATAAGGCGAGGGTATGTGCATCACTGACAGCTGGATGCACTAACTGATTTGATTAGAAACAATTTCACATAAATTGGTGTGATTTCTTGATCTTATTTGATTATCATCTGTACAATAAAGTATGGAGTTGTGGGTGACATGAGTTAGTGTCTCTGTGGTTGTTTTTTATTTTGGAGTAGATGCCATTAAATTGGTTGAAATTTAGCTTCTTTCTGAAATGAGCGAAAGTCTGGCCTTTTGTGTTCATATTTTAGTACATGATGTTAATTACTAGACCAGTTTCTCACTGTTGTCCCCAAATCCAGTCAAATTGGATTTATCTAATGGTAAAGAATGTCATGTAAAAAGATATTTAAGAAAACAGTTGGGGATGTACAAACATACTAACACTGTAAATTTTTCAAATGTGTGTGTTTTGTCACCTTGTGAATTGTTACTTTGATGTAGAGATCACAGCTCTGTTTCTGTACTATGTCTCAATTGTTAATCAGAACTGCCACAAGAAATGTTTGTTAGGAACCACACATTTGGATAAACTGATTGTTATGGTAAACAGCAGAATACTAGGTTTTGAGCCTGAGAATTCAACTGTGGGTGATTTTTAATTTAATGTATTATTTATTGCATTCACTGGCAGTTCCAAAACAAAGCAAAACCAAACCAAAACAGAAATTTGGTTTGACCAAAACCAGTGGAATGTTTTGAGAGGAATTGAAAAAGGTAACAATGGTATTGTTTGTTGAATGGAATATTTTATTTTGTAGTATTTTTAACCACTAGCTAAATTAATAAAACTGGTGGTGTCAGGCCTGTACCAATAGTCTCATAGTTAAGGTGCTGACCTGGCATGTGAGAAACCCAGAATCAAATTCCTGTTTGGGAGCAGAGATTGGAGCTTGGGTCTTTCCCATGCCTGAGTACCCTAACATTGGACAATAGAAATATTGGCACTCTCTTTCTTTGCATCTGCTCCATCTAGGATTTTTTTTTTCAAATTTGCAACTAGTTATGGTGACTTGAAATGATATTTCTCAGTGTATAATTATTTTTTGTCTGACTTAATTTTTGGTTCACTGACAGTGACCCAAGATCTGAAGTAGTCCTTAAGGTTTTACTGTTTTCTTTTCTATGTTGTCCAGTGTATGCAAATAAGTCCAGACTGCTGGATCTGTAACAGGATGCCTTGGAATTATACATATTTGGAAAAAGCCATTCTAATTAATATTTGCATAATTTATGCTGGAACACTGAAGGTGATTTTATAATGACAAATGCAAGGATTGGAGGATTCCTGCTTAAAAGACTTTGAGAGCTGGCAGGCAAGCATGCTGGCTCAGTCTTGGCTCATGC